TGGAGGCAGGGCTTAAAAGACTGAATTTTGCCTGAAACTCTCAGACTGAAGAAGTCTTTTGGAGGAGAGACGAAACGTTTCATTAGAGAAGAACCCGTCCAGAAGACCTATACAATTTTTTTCTTTTTGATTTTTACCTGGATTAGAACACTTGCACACTGTAAACAGCTACCCATGTGGCCTTTTATTTGTTTACTCACCATCACTTTCTGCTCGCACCAGGAGAGAAGTCCCTCTCAAACGCTCCACGTAGCCCGAGGAGACGTGACCGGTCCCACGATCGTCCCACTGCCTGTCCTCGTTCAGGGTGTAGACTTTGACTCGTCGGCGGGTGTCCGTCATCCTGGCAGGTGATCTACCTGACTTGGGTCTTTGGCCACAACTTCAGTTTACTTTCGGCACCTGTTTACCGCGTCGGTGGCAACTTTTTGAGGGGGACCGGGGAAGCAACTTCAAAGTAGAGCCGCGTCCAGTGAGGTTCCCTCGGTAGATTTTGCACTTAGTTGCTGATTTATTTGCGTAGTTTAAACGAGCTGTTCCCGCGGATAAAATAAAAATAAAATAAAGGCAAGAGCGCCACGAAAAAACACTAAATCCGCTCAGTGAAGCAAGATAACAACACTTAAAATTGACAAATATAAACAGCTGAAAGGCATTACTTAGTCCTAACACGTAGCTGAAGTAAGTTACGACCGCTTGATTAGAAAACACAATGCCCTCTTGTTGGTACAGTTTGTGCTTGCAGGTAACGCTAGCCAGACATGCTAGCTTTAAAACCGAAAACCACCACCTTTAGAAAGAAACTCACCACAGCTCGGCACCGATGACACTATTTCATAGTTGCGACCAGAAAACACCGTTTCAAATCCAAGCAGCGCGTTCCTATTGTCGTTTTCAATTATTACGCCAGTTCACGCTAGTTAGCTTGTATTTCTTCCCCAAGTGTTCCGCCATGTTCTGGCTCGGGGCCGCGGGGAGACCTGTCCTCTCCCGACTCATTATTCGGGCACACGAAGAGCCGTGCAAACCGACAAACTGGAATATAATATTTACTTCAAGGCTGCGCTTTACATCACACTGCTATTCGTCATTCATTCCAGACGTGTAGCTCTGATAATTGCTAAGTGCCCCCMTTGAGTTTTCGGCCATCTTGGGTCCCTTCAGAGTCAGCACGGGGTTTCCGCACGGCACCAACAGGGCGGCCCGCCACATTTAAAGAGACAGTAACACAATAAACACGCTGCACTTTTACTTCTCTCTAATTAAGTTTTTCCGAAAATATCTCTAATAAAACACTTTAAAACCACCTGGGATAAAATCAGAAGTAGATTTTATTTACCCAGTTTTTTCTACATGAAACAAACCTGCACAAAAAACAAAAAAGCTGTAATAATCGTACACCTAAAAGGAGACCAGTCAGAAAAAAAAAAACATTTTATTGAAACTCAAATACAACAAGAGTTCAAATCAGACATAACATAAAATTAATTTAAAAAAAAAATCTACTTTAACAGCAGGTATGTAGCCAAAAATAAAAATAACGTGGACATTTTTACCTTCTGGATGTTGGCATCAATTTCCACTAGTTCTAAAATAAATTTGCTGCAATCAAAACACACAACAGAGCCAATAAAGAAGAAGAAAAAAAAGTTTAAATTTTTCATTAAACCAAATTGTAAAATGTTTCACAGATGTTCATCCTTGGACTGATACTCTTCCATCTCACATTGTAACAATTTAGAAAACTATGAGAATAAGATGCTGACAAACGTAACGCAGAGTCAATAAAAATCCCCAAATTTCTCAACACACCCTTTTCCAAACCATACCAATGTGTAGACGACGTGTTTGTAGTAAAAAATGAAATCCCTCTCTTCAATCTGACAATGTTGTCCTTTTACACTGATCTGTTCTGCTGTTTTTGTACAGAAATGTTAACTCTTCAAGCGTGTAGCAAGACAACATGTCAAATACGCCTTTACTTTGCCGCTTGTTGAGCCTGACGCCGCAGCAGGACGTATATCTTTTCCTTAATCCAGTCTTTGTTGTACGGTTGGTATGTTTGAGTGTCAGCTCTGTACCTAAATAAAAAGAAATAAAATCAGACAAAGCAGTAACACATTTAAAGCGTGACTGATTCTAACATTAAATCCGTACTTACACAAGACAGCTCAGATCTGCCAAGTCGTCAATGAAGTCAAACAACTGACTGATGTCGTATGTAATGGATGGACTGTTGGGATTCATCCTCTTCAGATGCTCCTCATACATTTTGCAAACGCCTGAAAGAGAGAGAGGTGCAGGACAGGCTGACTGAAGGCTCGACAGACCTCCTTCTCAAAGTATGAAGCCAAACTAAGCCTGAGTTGAGCCTATGGTCTACAAAAGTTGTTTATTTTTATTTTTGTCTACAACCTGCTGTCTGTCACATCTCATSAACATTTTTTTACGATGTAAATAAAACAATGTTTTATCCTTTTAGGGAGATCAGGACCTCAAATAACCCCAGAGAAACCACAAAATATTTAGTCCAAAGCCAGTTAATTATAATGCGGCAGCAGCCAATTAAAAGCGGTTTGGAAAAAAAAAATTGTATTGTGCAAGTAATCTAGTGACAGACAATATTTGCAAMTTTACAATTACTGCAATTCGCGGCATGTTGTTATGTGTTTTTGCGTGGGACACGCTATCATCAGGGTTCCTGCAGATCCTTAAAAAATCTTAAAACTCATTGAATTCATCAATCCAAAAATAAGGCCTTAATTAGCCTTAAAATGTCTTAAATTAATCTTTCAGAAGTCTTAAAATTGTCAACACATTGTAAAGAGGATGACTGTAATTTGTCTCAAATACTAAACTAATTGGTRACATTTATTTTTTWAAAATATTCACATGCAGACATTCCTCTGACATCACTTCCTGTTATTTCACATGCAAATGTCTCAACAACTGTCCGTCGGAGCAATTTGAAATTTGTTTTGTAATATGTTAATAATGTCGTCTTTCCAAAAATGCATTCATATTTCTTATAAAACATTTCATGTCACATGCATTTTAAGGTTTCATCTGCAGCAAGCTGGGGTTAAGACCCAACTCTGGGTCCTAAAACTCCAGATTTTAGGTTGTTAGAGGATTTCAAGAAAATAAATTAAGTTTAAAACTGACTTCCAAGAATGTTTTTGCCGTTTTATGAAAAAGCAGTTAGATATGGATAAAACAATTGGTCTATTAGCAATATTTGAATACTTCAACCAAAACTATCCTGATGCATCTCAGTAATCCAGGTAAAAAAATCAAAAAGAAATTTTTTTTATAGGTCTTCTGGACAGGTTCTTCTCTAATGAAACGTTTCATCTCTCCTCCAAGAGACTTCTTCAGTCTGAGAGTTTCAGGCAAAATTCAGGCTTTTAAGCCCTGCCTCCATGTGACTGATACATCACATGGCTATTGTTGACACCTAATTAACACTTAGGGGGTGGAGTGACACTGGCAATAGCAGCACTGTAGGAGGGGGACAACTGAAAACGGAGGCCTCCACCTTTCCGCCTCTGCTCTCTGCCTCCACYGTCCATCATTAAACAGAGGTGGAAGCCTCCGTTTTCAGTTGTCCCCCTCCTACAGTGCTGCTATTGCCAGTATCACTCCACCCCTGTTAACAATAGGTGTTAATTAGGTGTCAACGATAACCATGTGATGTGAGTATCAGTCACATGGAGGCAGGGCTTAAAAGCCTGAATTTTGCCTGAAACTCTCAGACTGAAGAAGTCTCTTGGAGGAGAGACGAAACGTTTCATTAGAGAAGAACCCGTCCAGAAGACCTATACTATTTTTTTCTTTTTGTTTTTCAACCAAAAATACTTTGATTCATGAGTTCCTGCCACAGTTTTTATTTTATTTTTTGTCATTTGGGTTTATTGTGAAATTGGACAACTTTAATTTCACTTGGCATTAAAAAGTCTTAAATTTAAACTTGCCTTAAACTGTAGGAACCCTGCTTTCAGGCATGCATGTGTGAGCCAAACGGTGGAAAGCAGCAAAGAGCAAATAATAGTAACACTAACCCTGCTGAAACACCGCCATAAACCAGAGTACGTGGAAAGCCAGGAGAAGCAGACCAAGGCCACATMGGCTACATTGCAAGTGGCATCCAATAATTGTTACATCTTGTGATAAAAAATATATTTTGCCTAAATCGCCCAAACCTATTTTGGGTCATTTGAAATGAAGCAACATGAAATCCAAAGAGAAAGGGAAGAAGAAATAGGAAGGWGGAAATAATAATAAGGTTAAGGTTCGGTCATACAGGGCTTAATTATTCACTTTTTAAAATACAGAAGCATATAAATGGAAAGTGTGATTGTTGTGAGAAGTTGGAAACAATAGAGCATGTTTTTTTAGAGTGTAATAAATATGAAGATGAGAGAAGATACATGTTGAGAGAATGTGAAGGTGTTAAAGAAATGTTTAATTTATCAGATTTTTTGAGGAGGGATTTGGGGAGTAGACATATTCAAATAATTAGTAGGTTTCTTATAAAAACAAAGGTATTTCTTAGGATCTGAGTAGAGTAAGATGGGGGTGAATGTGCAAAGAATAATGAAGAGAGATTTATAAGCTATATAAAAGTTATAAGTAGGTGTGAGTGTGAGAGTGTGTGTTTAGTCAGAAATATTATAGGGATTAGGTATGAAGTATATAGATTATTACGAACCACACTCCATACCAGTAAGTGGCGGTAATGCTACTGAAAGTTTGTTGCCAACCGCCAATAAAAACCAAGAAGAAGAAGAAATCCAAAGCACAGGAACACCGTTGTAGACTCAACACATGCCACTGAAATCAGCTGTATTTCTTTGGACAATTATAAATGTTATTTACAGTATATCTCTTGCAAAAATAGGGTTTTAATTAATTAATATTTAAAAATTTCCTTCTTGCATACACAGCTAATGGACACTAGAGCTTTACAATGGAAACATGTGTTGACTCATTCATGTGCTTTTAAGCTTTGATTCAAAAAGTCCATTTTACAGATAAAACTGAAAAATGACAGAACATTTCGATCATTAATGACATTCACTAAAACCTTAACATGTTACAACAATAGGGCTGCCACGATTAATCGATTAACCGACGACTAATCGATTACTAAAATAATCGATGACTAATTTAATAATTGATTAATCTTTATCTTTTTTTTGTTGTTGTTGTTCTTTACTTTGTTTTTCTCTCCAAACTGCTTTGACACCTTCCACTGCCACATCTGCCTTTCTGTCCTTGACACACATGCACAGTAGTGGTAACTGGGGTAGGCCGTGGACGCCACAAGACATTAAAGTGCAGTACCACTGCTCTACCCATATG